TTTCATAAAGAAATCGTTGTATGGCATGCTTTCTTTATAATAGTTAAATTATGATTAAATATAATTGAATTGGCATTAAAACATAAGATGAAAATGATTAATTTTAGCTTAGTGAATGGACTTTGTTGAGTCAAATAATAAAGATGACATTCTCTTCGCCAAATATTAGTTTCTGAAATGAGTCTAATTATGAACTGTGATTTTAAGAGCAAGACAATTATAGCGGGTCTTGTAAATTTGGTCTTTTTAAATCATCATTAGTATTAATCAAGGAGGGAAGCAGGGTCTCGAATTCGAATCCAGTGTATTTGTGTTAAAAACATGATAGCTAGAGTTTTGTGGTCCTGGTCCTATCCAGCTCGAATCGGATAAATCGAGTAATCGATGAATAATATAAAAAAGTAAAAATATTAACCAAGGAGAGTCTTGGCCAAGAACATATTGCACTTAATAATGGAGAGCTGAATTTAACAACAGATATCTTTCCAGGAATATACCAGCTTATGTTGCGTAGCAACACACTCTTCAGGGTAGATCTTACCGTCGACACAAGAAGTTCTATCTTCTCTTTCAGCCAAAAAGAAATTAATCTGACTACGATTATGGTCACTGTGATATGTGATTAGATGTGATTCCCTTTTTCGAAAAAAATTGTTCGTTAGCATCAAATCGTAGGCTAGATTGTTCACAAAATTGTATATATATATAAATATGTGGGGTCCATATGAACCCGTGTGAAGAGAAGAGAAAAAACAAAATATTAGCCACACACATTTTTATATGTGTATTTTGATAAACATTAGATAAAATTATCTAAACTAATTTTAGAAAATTTAAACCCTTTCCTTAATAGATAAGGATTACACTTGGAACGTGCATTTGAGACCAATGAAGTTCACATCAGAAATAACTCCGAAGCAGGGATAGTTGGTAGTTAATTGGTAGCATCCAATTATATACACAAGGCCACCAATCAAAATTCAACCACATTGAATGAAGGCCACCAATCATTTACTAAGAGGACAAGAACAGTAACGACTAGTAAAGTGTTATTATATAGAAAACTAGTAGTAAAAAATATTTCTTGAAATTATCACACTTTAATCTTTGATGTGACAGTTAATTAACACTAAGAGATGTATAAATAATATTACTAATGAAACATCAAGATCTGATTCAGATTTTTCATCAATAATTGCTTTATTCTTTGCTCCAAAGTGACTGAACAGTCACTCCTTCGTTTTATGTAATATTTTTGTAAATCTCTTTCCGTTTTCATCTATCATGGTTCATTATATTATATATCCCACCATCCAAATACAACATGAGTAGAGTTACATTGAGCAGGCTAATATAGAGAGTAGAGTCTCTGAAACAACAGAAATACAACATGAGCATTCCAAGTGTGCTAGTTTTACCAGGTCCAGCTCAAGGACATGTCTATCCCATGATGAACTTCTCGCAAAAGTTGGTTGAGAATGGATGCAAAGTCTATTTTGTGAACACAGACTTCAACCATAAGCGAGTTGTGAGTTCCATGGTTGAGCAACAAGAAAGCCTTGATGAATCACTGGTAAAGTTGGTTTCAATCCCAGATGGTTTAAGACCTGAGGATGACAGAACAGATTTTGTCAAGTTATTTGATGCTATACTAAGCACCATGCCTTCTATGCTTCAGAGGAAAATAGAAGAAATTCATTTGTATGGTGAGGATAGAATCAGCTGTATAGTTGCAGATGTGAATATGGGATGGGCTTTGAATGTTGGGAACAAGTTGGGAATCAAAGGAGCTCTCTTCTGGCCTGCATCAGCTGCTATGTTTGCCTTTCAATGCAACATCCCTGCACTTATTGATAAAGGGATCATAGATTCTGATGGTAAGTAATAATATCATACTTCACTAGTCAGTTTTGTTTGGTTCTATTAATTACATCACTAACAAGTCACATATTCTGGTTGATTTATTAATTAATTATATATATATACATGTGGAGGGCATCAAGCCCAAAAAAAAAAAAAAAAAGAAGAAAAGAAATAGCAACATAAACTAAACACCTACATAGGTGGAAACGGTGGAAGATATCCTTCCTAAGTGATTAATGTCTTCTAACAGATGGGGAGACATCCAAGTAGGAGCATCATGGTAGACTTCGAGACCTTTATTCCTAGATAAGGCAGTTTGGGCTAACTTATGGGCGCAGCAATTGGACTTTCGATAACTAATATGCTAATAGAACTAATTTTAATCACCATTACCTAACATCACTTCATGCATTTGCTTATAGCTTGATATATGTGTATACTGTTAGATTTTTTATAATTATTGTAGCCCCCAATGAATTGTATTTATTTTTTTGTTTTTATAAAAATGGGTTAAGTCGTGATTCTTATGAGGGTGCAGTATAGAACCTGCTTAATTCAGTGATCCTTTTGTTTGGATTTGAATATTTGTAAACTGATTAGTGTGGGTAATAGTGTAGGCCTAACTCATAGGCTCATGATGAGAAAGGGACTAGGGTTAATAAATTTGGTTAGATCCCCTTTGCATCCTTATATGTTGAAAAAGAAAAACAACCGCTCTACAACTTGCCTTATCAACAGTTGTGATAAGGGAGTGGTGTAAACTGTAGAGAAAGATCCTGGCCCTTCAACCTTTGCAGGAATACCGGAGTAAGCACTACAACTGAGATATCAAGGATTATGTCGTTAACAAGTAAGTCTAAACGCTTTTGATGTTTTAATTTCATATAATCTTATTTTGTGATTTCTTACATTTGGTATCAAAGTCTAGATTACATGATTTATGACACAGTATTGGTTGATTAAACATGAGTATATCTTTGGGATTGAACCAGTTTCCCTCGTGTTCTTGAATGTATAATTTAAATAAGGAAAAATTAAACCCAAAATTACAGGATATTATTTTGAATTTATTTTATCATGAATTTTGACGAGAGAAATTCAAAATTAAAGTCACCGTTAAGATTTCAAATCTAATTCCTAATTCCACTAATTATTGTGCGTGGTAATTCAATGTTTTCATGCTCATGTTATAATTGAAATATTAAATTATAATAATGAATGATATCTACGTGTCTAGGGTCTTTCCAAAGTTAATAGAATTGAAACGTGTCAAGTAGAGGTGTCAAAGTGGGCTGCCCGTCCCGCCCCAGCCCGTCAAAAAGTGGGTTGGCCCGACCCACCCCGCCTTTGAAGATGGGCTAGATATCTCAGCCCGCCCCGCCCCATTTGGGCGGGCCGGGCGGGCTGTCCGCCAAGCCCGTGACATTTTACACTAAAAGTTAAAAAAAAAAAAAAAAATAGCCCGGGCACTCTTGGCGAACAGCGGATTTGAGAAACTCAGCCCGCCCCGCCCATTTGGTGGGCGGGGCAGGCCAGCCCGGCGGGCTCGGCTCATTTTGCCAGCTCTAATGACAAGCATGTGTGATGTATTGACAGCAAATTAGTAAAATTCATAATTCCTTATTGTTTTTCCTTATTTTCAATTTGACTGCCTTAGATGGTTTGAATGGTTCTCTTAGTAATTACGACAGGGAATTTCATGATTATGGAGGAAGAGAATTTGTTTGTATTCTAAGATTTCAATGCATATGGAAATCTTGTTATCATTGATTTTGAATAAATAAATAGTTTTTATTTATTTATTTACTTATTCACTTATCTATTATAACATTTGTTAGTTTATTAATCTTCGTGGAAATATCATGACCTTATTTCTAAATCATTTGGAATGATTGTTCGTTATATAAGAGAGTTCACAACATCAAAGACACACGTACTTATATATATGTATTTAGTCAAATTTATTATTATTATTTGATTTGAAACCCTTGTTGGATTTGACTGAACGTTTTGAAGATATATCTTTATGTTTGTGATTCTAGGTCAATGAAAATATTTGGATAAAAATAAATACATTATCCTTCGTGTTTTTATTTTTAGTTTGAAATTATTTGGAATGAATAGTTTAAAATAAAAGTTATTTGATAGTCATGGGGTTACATCACACTTAACATGAATAAAAATGCATGAATCCATGATAGCTTTGACGAATACTACTTCATTTAAAGTTAGACATTATTTATGGATGCAACTTATTTCTTTGGTGGTTGATCATTTGATTGGTGGGGAAGAAGACCTATTTGGATGTTTTAAGTGACGCTCATCTGTGGGCTATGGTGCATGAGGCACTTGTCAGCCCAATAGTGACCTAATTTTACCAAATATTAGTTGTGTGAAGTTATAATTAATTATAATTTTATGATATATTTAAAATAAAAAATTTATTGCAATAAATATCCTTTTTGGGAAAGTGATAAACCGTATATGATTGCTATAATATATTTTTTGTTTATTATGGTGCATGTTTTCGCTTGAATTGTTTGAGTACAAAATTTTTTTGCAAATGTTATTATCTTTGATTCATTATCAGTAGAGATGTTGTACTTTCTTGTGGACTGAATTATGGTTTTGGGCAAGAGAAAATTAATTTCTGTAAAAGTTTTCATGAATTACTATGGGTAATTAACACCAAAGTGAGATTACTTATATTGGTTTGGGAAAATTTCTTTGCAAAATTGAGGAATGCTTATGGTTATTTCATGCAATTTCCTACCCAAATGGGGTGATTGTGTGTTATAACTACGAACTTGTGAACTTGTTTAGGATGAAGTTATTGGAGAATACATCTCTGAAGCCAGTGTATGCTCACTGAGCAGATTTTCTTTGAGGTTGTAGATGATGAAGTTATTGGATGCTTATTGATCTAGGAATCTATCTGCCCAAAGGGGATGGATTTTCAAAAACTCAATGTTGTACTTAATGATTAACTTATCCAAGGTTCTAGCCTTGGTTTATACCTTGGTTTGCGCATTCTGCCCAAAGGGGTATGTACTGTTAAGTTGGCCTTGTTATGACAACCTGTTATGCTCATTAATTAACTCATCCGGTGTTCTGACCTTGGTTAGTACATTGTTCCCAAAGGAAAATGTACTATTATGTTGGCCTCATTATCTTGTTTTAATTGAAGGTATATATTTTCCTCTAATTTATTCTAATGCATTCGTATTTTTCCTTAAATTATATTTTTTTATTAATTTTTCTTTCAATCAATTTGTAAGTGTCTTTAAATAATTTCTTGTTCAATGTTCTTGAAATACATATTTTAACTTTTGACAAACATAAATGTTTATGTTCCTTTTTTCATATTTTAATTAATGAAAAATTATTATAGATTATGGTGGTTATAATCCTAGTAATTACTCGCTAATTTAGCGTAGATTTTACGTGCTTTGTCAATGAAGAATTTGATTAGTGAACTAAGGTATATAATTGCTGATATTAGGGATTCGAATTTGTGACAAAAATTGTAGTTTGGTAAATGCAATATGAATTTTGAAAAAATAGGTTATAATGATTTTCATATTATTTGGGCATGATTTTTTGGAGCATTATTTGTGAATTGTTAGAGTTCTTTATTGATTAAAAAAATTATTGTTTGCAATTATCTGCCTAAAGTGGTTACTGTATGCAGCAATTTTTTGAAACTTACAAGAAGATAAAATTTTATATAATATGAAATAATTGTGTATTGTATACTCTGGCCAAATGAGAGTTTATAATATGTTAAGTATTTCCATAAAGTTACTTTATTGCCTATAATTAATATCATTTCATTTATGTAATAAATATGATTTTAATATGAATGATAACAATGCCATAATATAATTAGTTATTGGATTAAATTAAGATGAATGGAGATGACATCTAGATTTTTCTTTATGAATTTTGATCTTGATAGGGCATTGTGTTAAAGTTAGCACATGCTCGGTTCTAGTGAACCGTGGATTTATACCGTAAAGGTATACACTAAGAGATATCTAATAAAGAGATATCTTATTGGCTTAAAGCCAATGTACCAATCACTGTGCACAGACAATAGGCTTATAGCCAAGACGTGGGTGTGTGCACAATGTTAGCAGCAATAGTAAATAGGTCAAAAGTGTGTACCTGGGGTCTTTAGCCTCTTATTTATAGTGTTTACCTTTGTGGATTTGGGCTTTAGATATCCCTTGATTGATATAATAGCTGCCTTATTTGTTGGGGATAAGGATCTTATTCTTTGATCCTCCTTGGATTATGTTATTGTGATAAGATTGTGATAGATCCTGATCTCTTATTGGATATGTGGTTGAGATATGGATCAAATCTATAGGTCCGCAGTTCGGAAGCTTGGACTGTCGGGGTGTAGAAGCTTAATTAACATGTCGATCATGCCGAGATATCATCTTGAGTCCGCAGTGGGTTTTGGGGCAGTTTGCTCTTCCCTAGACTTATCCTTGTCTCTGACTTACAGGGGCCATGTTTGTGCTTCAGCTGTTTAAAGTCTAAACTTGGCCGAGGTAGAGGTTTTAAGGTGTGTGTCGAGGTCTAATGACGCACTCTGCCATGGGTCGTATAAGTTCAACATTTATTCAAGGCCGATCTTGTTGGTGATGTTGAGTGACTTTGTTGTCAAGGACGTTCCTTTGCCAGTTACATCGACATGACTCTTCACCTTTTCCTACTTGATGGTTACGCTTTTCCACGTGTCATTAATCAATTGGTAGTTTCAACGTTGTAGAGCATGAGTCGTCCTGGATCTTTGCAGGTCATAATGACATGCATTTAATGTTCCCTGCAAAATGACTCTTTTACCTCTTGGTTTTTCAGTTTTCGCACCCATCAGTTTCTCTTCACATATTTTTCCCTTTTAAGTTTTCCCTCAGTAGCTTTCATTCTCATTTCGAATCTCTGGCTTGCATTTCTTGCTTTCCAGGTTTTTTGGAGCATTTCCTGCATTCTCTCTGCAGTTTCT